AGTGCTTAGGCATATTTATTAGAAGGACTCTTCAAGAGCGTCTTGTTAGCCCGGATGAGATGAAGGTAATTGATAGTAACTTCTTGTCAGGTCGAGCGTCCTCATAAACGCAAAGGAGTGGAGTTTGGCATATAAATTATTGTGTTTTAATGCCCTTTATATGGGCATTCGTTTACGTTCAAACTCTTAATTTACTTTGGGTTGAACCAATTCGATCGAATGTTATCTACGTACCCTCCACAAAATATTGTTTCTAGTGTGCTTTTTCTGCGCTTTGTGTATTTCAATTCCGTTGTTATTGCGACAAATTGGGGCAGCAAACAAACGCTAAAATTAAAGCGTGTTTGGAGTGACGATGCTTAGAGGCTCGCTATTGCTCTACCCTCGAATTATAGAAGTTCCAAATAAATTTTTAAGGGCGATACAATGCTTAAAACCCGAGGTATATTATCGACTTTAAACACTTTTTAATTATAGGTTATTATGAAAAGTTTTCAACTGTTTTGTTTTCACAATTTAAGCTTTTAGTATATAGTTCCTGCTCGAATTGTGCAGGGTACTTGCCACCTGCCAACGGCTGACAGCTTTTGCTGTTTTCTCCTGTGACCTGCCAACTTGCAGCCACCACCCTTTTAGCCCCGCAACCCCCGTAACCCCCGTGACCCCCGCGACCCTTAACCGTCCGCTGATGCTACGCAACCATGGCTCGTAGATTTGAATAATTGTGCAGCAGCGTGTAACGGTACCAGAAACAGCGGCGGCGGAGGGGGTATTAAAAATTGCAGAGAGTGTGTTGCAGTTGCAGCTTCCCCGATCCCGTCGTTGTTTTTTGCCCCCATTGTTGTTGGGCCGCGGAAAGCTCAGTACTCGCGTACAATAACATTCTTTTTCTCACTTTCCATTGCCCCCGCGGTCCCTCAAATGTATGCTACATTTTGTTTTTGTTAAATATGTTGGTTTTGTTGTGGATGGAATAAAACGTTTGTGCGTTGTTGTTGTTCAAATTAAAAATGATTTAGATGCCAGCAAATTGAGTTCACTTCGGATATAGTTGTGTGTGCGCAAGTTTTCGTTTTCGTTCCAGCGTGTAATTTAATTGTTTGATATTTGCCCGCACTTCCACAGAAATAGAAAATCGTACTCATTTGTCCTCGTATCGCAGTGCTTCAATCAAGCTCTGTGATTGTTTGATATTTACGAGTTGTTCCCAAAAGGAAAATGCCATTTAATCCCAATTGCAACTGTATTTCAGCTTTAATGTTTCATGTTCAAGCCATAAGCTGGCACACAGATGCGGGAGAAACGATAGCAATGAATGGGAATTTTAACGTATTGAATAACACAATTAAACCAATTTATAGTAAAAACAGTCTAAAAATGAAACACAGAAAAAAGTGTACATCGGAGATAAAAGAAGAAATTATGTTACGTTGCTCATAGTTGTTTAAATGCAAATAAACTAGGGCGCTTTGTTATCTAGTTTTGTTTGTTTTGCAAATGCCAATTGCTGTTGGCACTGCAATTAAACATGCCAAACATGAGCATCCGACACTAAGCCATGAAAAATGCAACAAAATAGTTGTGGCAACAGAAAATAAATATTTTCTGTACTTTTCTACAAAGAGGCTTTAAACAAACTCATAAGAGAAGAGGCGAAAAAAGACATTTGCGGAATGTTCGCCTCGTAAGCCCACCCACACAGAGACACAATGAAATACACTTACGAACCGGAAGTGATGTCCTGGAATGTCAGAGGAGATGAAAAAGGTGGAAGCCAGAAAATGAGAGACGGGGGAGAAGAATGGGTCACTCAACTGACAACAAAAGAAACACATATCCCCCAAGTGTTTCCAAAATCTCATTCGATTCAGGTGAAAAGGGTTAAAGTCAATATGGTTCAAGTCTTTTCCAAAGATTGTGAAGAGTGTGAAAAACCGAAAGAGAAATCCCTCGATTCGCCATGGCTTAACCACTCTGGACACTTCAGTGGACACATTCATTTAAAGCCAAGTTGGGGTCATAAAATGCTTTCTTCGGCAGCCATTGGCCATTGTGAAGGGAAACACCCTTTTTTATGATTTGTCTGTCCCAGCTATAAAAGATTGCCAAGCAATTGAATCCATTGGCCACGAGCCTGTCCGTCGGTTTCATAATCAAATACATAACTTTATTTATGCTGTCCCATCGCCTTGCCGTCCCACATCCCTTTGCCTGGGCCCACAAAAAGTTTCCACCAAATTTGCTTACATTGGCGAAACAATAAAATTCCATTGTCAGAAAGGATGCTCTCGGTCCTAGCCGGATGCTATTTTGTTAAGTGCGCGAATGTTGGCGCATAAATAAAAATATAATTGAGCTGCCACCCTCCTCCCACGATTTTCCCGAGCCCCAACTCGCAGATCAGATTCCTGGCCACAAGGCCTGGGGCCACCAGCTATGATGATGAGCAACTCGAATTCACTGCGAAAAATATTACGAAATATTTGAGGTATCAATAATCAAAAAAATACTATTCATTCATTCATAGAAATATTTGAGATTCCTTAGTATTTAATAAAAAAAACAATTGGTTTCCTTATTTTGCAGAACCTAATTTGTTCTCTCTTCATTTCATTATTATTTTTCTCTCAGTGATCTTTTTTCCTCCGACCTCTTATATTGATTTTCGACCCAGTTCAAATAAATTAGCTGCTATTAATTGGAAATGCGGGCAGGCGACTCACTCAAGCAATGCACAATTTGGACCAAGATTCGATTCGTTGCCAAGGCTTAATTGATTAGCCTTGGCTAAGAGCTCCCTTTCCCAATATCCCCGCTGTCGCCCATTTTGTCATTGCATTTAATTGCATTGCCGAAATAAGGATTCGGGCAACAACAATTAAATTTTATCATCGCACCTGGACGAACTTTTCTGCCATCCAGGCAATCGAATGCCGAACTTGTGCTGCCGTTGATGCTCCGTATAATTGAATTAATTTAAAATTGCCTAGAACAATTTCCCTGCAGGGCTGGCATTAATTTTGTAAAAGTTCAGTACTGTTTGCTGGGCATTTAAAATTTTAATTGAGTTTATTGCGAACTATTCAGCAATTTGATTTTGCAGTCAATGAAGGTAATACCATGAGGAGGATTGGTTTATAATGAGGATGAACTGGATGATCCTGTTATTCTGTGGAATAATTTTGTGTGTGTACTTGAATTTTAAATGAAATTGTATTATGTTTCGCTTAAATAACGCACTCGTGAATAAAATTTCTGCATTTAGGTGTTTTATTTTGTTATTTATATTAAATTAATTAAGCCTTTGTAGTTTCTTCTATAATCGTTTGCCCTTTACATTCGGGTTTGGAAGGCTTCTTGCTGTGAATTTCCAATTAAAGACCGTATTGGGTTTCCATCATTAGAGGGAACAATTTCCATTTTTCCGGTTAAAACAAAGGTAACGAGAGCAAACACTCTACTCACGACATCAATCACTTCGCCACACACAAAAATGCCATGGTACACAGATCGCAATTAATTTACCCAAGTCAGCCAGCCTCAATTTGGTTGGGAGTCAGCCGGTGTTTGTCCTTCTCCTGTTGCAGCTGCCAAACGCATCTGCAGTACGGCAGTATCTTATCCAAGCAGCAGATACTTTCCACTGGCAGCCATCAGAGCTCCCAGCATTGCCGGCTCCATCGACAGGCCGTCGTCTGCCGTGTTTGCCTGCATGTCAAATTCCCATTTCATTGAAATCGGCAAATATTGACTAAGAACTTGGATGCAATCAACGCTGCCGGCGACTGCGACAAATGGGCGTGTCGACATCCCGGAGTCAAATCGATGGCTCGATTTGCATGGAAACGAAAGTGAAGCTGGCAGAGCTAAAAAGTGAAAGTCGGAGGGAAAGCTTAAACTAATAGAGCGGGCACAGAATCCGCGTGGCATGAAAACCACTTGACCTAAAAGTACCAAAAGTACATACTTTTCTTTTCGGTGGGTCACGATAATTAGAGCTTTTCGGCATTTAACTTCCTTTGCAATTGGTCCCGGTTAAATAAATGCAAGTTTTAGCAGAGTTTTAAACTTTTTAAACTTAAAAAAATTAGTTTAGCATGAGAGTGTTTAAGCCGGTTCCTAATTACCAAGAAAGCAGAGCCATTTGGTTATTAAAACATTTTCGCAAATTGCTACGCAACTTTGGAGTCAATAAACTAAACGGCCAAAACGGTCGAGGCCACTCAACCGAGTCCTGGTGGATAAGGATAATCAGCCTCACCCAGACATCCTTTGAAGCCAGGCGAAGGGAAACAGAAACACCTGGGGAGCGAGTCAAAAAACAATTTCGCCTCATTATCATTTCAACATATTGTATGCCCAAGTGTTTCAAATTGTTCAAAGCGAGTAGGGAAACTCGAAGGACGAGTTTCGCTCCTGATGAAGAAGTTTTCCCTTTACGTCCTCGTCGAGCTTGCTGCTGGAAGCTGAATGTCGGATATTGCTGGTGGGACTGGTGGGATTGGTGGGGTTGGTGGGTGGCAAGTGTAGGTGCTGCCAGGAATCACTATGCTCATAAATGCGCCATGAATAAATTAACTCGCTGAAAAGCAAAAGCCGAGCTAAACTAAAAGCCGAGCAAAAACAAAGCCGACCGAATGGGAGGTGAGTGGAGCCTTAGATTTCAAACGAATGATAATAATAATTGAGGCAGCGGCCCAAGTACTTGTACATTGGTAAGATAACAACACTATAGGAGGAGTACCTGTACATGAAAAGTGACTTGTATGTGGGTTTGCACTGGCAAAAAAAGGGGATTTGCAAATAAATTGAACAGAAAATATTTATATGATTTCATGGTAACAAGTATGCTGCATTGAATATTTGTAATTATTATTAGGTTTTATTGAACATGAAGTAAATGGTAAAATAAAATACATTTCATGTTCAGTTCCTTGAACATGTTAAATGGAATTCTATCATTGATTAAAGGCAACAAGCAAAGCAACCGTTCAGTTGCTAGACAACATTGAATTTAAATAAAACAAGGGCACTTCGCAACAGCTTTATCGATACCCCTAATACACCTAGGTGACCCCTCGGCGTTGCCTTCTTACCTGCCAGGATGGCCGCCCCCCGGATGTCTTCGCGAATGGCCTCCATCGCGGCGCGCCAGCGGCAGACGCGAGTAGGCAGGATGACGAGGCACACGATCTTCACGATGAAGCGGCCCATCACCTTCCAGGTGCGCAAGTCGCTGGTGGAGTACGTGGACATGGAGCTGGCGGACATGGACACGTCGGTGTTCTACCAGCGCATCTTCATCCTGGCCAAGAACTGCCACCTCACGCCCCAGGAAACCGAGGAGGAGGTGCCCGCCGAGGCGGCGGTGGACCAGGCGGAGCCCGAACCAGCCGCAGCGGAGACCATTCAGTTCACGGCGGATGCAGTTATAGAGAACGATGATGAGGACACCCCGACGTCGACGGTGACGGATGCCACGCGTGGCCGTGGGCCGGAGGACAGTGCTTCCCCGGAAGGGGGGGCGTCGGACAAGGAGGTGATCACGCACCTGTTCCGTTTCAGCGAGGAGGATCAGGAGGAGGAGGAGTCCGTCGAGGAGGAGGAGATCGAGATGGACACCTTGACACCCGACCAGCCCAAGGACTTCTTCGCCATCTTCAGCGAGCGGCTGCAGGACCTGCACGCGCAGTGCAAGGCGGTGGCCATCATCCCGGATCCCATGTGCGGCCTCTACATCCACATGGGCGACTACAGCCTCCTGATGCTGGAGTCCTCCGAGGACATGATCGGCTGCTTCACGCGCGCCCTGGCCGACTGCTGCGATCAGTTCTGGACGATGAACCGCGTCTTCCAGATCGAGGACCACGTCAAAGAGCTGCACACCAAGAGCCTGCTCTTCCGCCGCATCCCGGCCGTCTTCCTCAACGAGAAGTTCCCCACCTCCACGCCCACGGACGAGTACCTGATGGGCAAGCAGCACCTGATCATCAAGGACAAGCTGCTGGCCATCTGCCGGCTGATCTCGGAGGCCCAGACGGTGGACCCGGAAGCGCTGTCCGTTCGGGACAGTGACTACGAGGTCGACATTCCCAAGATGAAGTCCAAGACCTCCTTCTTCCAAAGCGAGAACTTGCAGGTGGAGGTCTACCGCAAGCACCTTCCCGAGATCCAGCGGATCGAGCTGGTCCTGGCCTCCACCAGGTTCTACTACAGCCTGGACGAGTTCGCCGGACTCTACGGCCGCGTGCCCTTCTCCCCCGACGAGGACGGCCTCTTCTGGCCCATCCAGAACAACTACACCCCGCCGCACATCTTCCGCCGCACTCCCTACGACATCAACCTCACCTTCGCGGACTACGCGGCGGTGGCCAACAAGAGGAAGACCCACGAGAGCTTGATCGGAGATCTGGACACTGGGGAGGAGGAGACCGCGGAGGCCCCACCGAAAGAGGAGGCTTCCCCGAAAGCTGAGTAACTGGTTGCGATTTTGAGTTTTGCCTTGGTTTTTGAGATATTTCTTCAATTACTAATTATACCTAGCAAGAGCTTTAAATATACTCGTTTTGCTTAAATATTATTTGGGGTATAAGTTCAGTTGTCAATGGATTGTTGAAAACATTTCCTTTTTACTTAAAAGTTAAAATCACTTACAGATTCCACTGAATTCAGCTTATAAAGAGTATTGCCTTCATGATGAAGTACAGCATCAATGTAACATTTTTTACCTCTTGCACCAAAAAGCAAGTTGAAAGCAGGTTAAAAGTTTCTGCTCATAGGCTATAAACCACGTTCATGATTTTTAAAGCCACTCGTGTGCTTAAGTGGCCTGTTTTTTCTGAGTGTGCGGCCATCGTCGTCATCAAGGAGCGGCAGTTGTCGCTGTTATCTCTGAAACTCGCGTTCGGTTACAATGTTTTCGGCATTGTGCACATGACTGCATTTCGTCGGGAGGCAGGTGGATGTTAAGGATGGAGTGGGGTCTCGATGTGGTTTTAGCCCACTCCAGGTTGTCTTGTTTTGGCTTGCCACTTGAATGGCTCGACTTTGTTAACATAAACATAAATTCGCTGTGTGAGTGCGCACATGTGTGGGCTGCCGGAGCGGTGCGCCTTTTAACATAAACCGCATCAGACGCCAGCTGTCAGTTGTAATTCCGGCGGAGCTCCGAGCTTGCAGCTGTCAAAAGCCGCTCCTGCCATTTAAAGTCACTTGACAGTGGGCCAAAGAAACACAGCAGCTTAGTGGGGATTGCGTGGCTTAAGGGTTGGCCAGATTCGATGGGGTTAGGCAGAGGTTGGCTCAAGATATACGGCCTAATACTGCTGCCTGAAGAATATTTGCTCACGATTAATCATCCCCAGAGGGGAAGAAAAGGCGTTAAATCAAAAAGTTGTTTAACAAATCGAATACTTGCTGTATTGCTTGTTTGTTTGTGTAAGACTCTTCATTTTTGAGATTTTATTTATCCATATGCTTTGTTAAAGATTCTATTAATCATTCACTGCTTGGCTTTCGAACGATGTTTAAGTTTATTAAATCTTTAATTTCTAAGCTCCAAGCGCAGCTGATGATGAATTTTATGAAAAATTGTCTAATTAATCAAACAATTTTTTTTAGAAAAGCTCCAACCTTTAAAGCTGCCCACGATTAGGCCAAAACAATTAAATGAAATTGCCTTTGGAGGCCAAAAAATAAGGGTAGCCGCGAGAACATGTTTAGAAATTGGGCTGGAAAAGTTAATTAAGCGTCGGCCGAGGCTGCTGCCAATACCACTGGTCCGGGGTGTTGGCTCCGATCTGCGATCCTGCGGCGAAACAGAGTACATGCAATGACAAGGACACAATTCAATCAAGCGCCGCAGGAGCAAAAATTGCCGTACAGACAGAGAGTGTCAGCGCATAAACAAGGACATTGCACTCCTGGGTGCTCGGTGCTTCGGTGCTTGGTTCTCCCTGCTCCGTGCCCAACTGCCTGCAGGTGGGTTTTCCTTTTCCCTGGCTTTCCCTGGCGAGAGGAAAGCCAAACATTTGCCGCTGCAGTTTTCATAAACTGCCAGACGACGCGCAGCTGGAAAAACGAACAACAACCACATCAAGGTTGCCCGAGACAATGGCGATAAGCCGTTGCTGCAGAGGCTGCTCTTCTCCATGTTTTCGATTCCGGACCTTTGCCTTTGCCTTTGCCAGTTCTCCGGACTTTGGGCTCCGGACTACGGACTACGGACTACGGACTCCGGACTGCGGACTCCGGCACGAGAATGCTTCGGTTACGTGTGGCCCACAACTTGAGGCGCAAACTCATAAATTACACAGGCGAGAGTGAGAGAGAGGGCCAAAAAAAAAAAGCGGCTACAATGACTTTTGGCTGCTGCGGCTGCTGTTTTTGGCCCATCAAAAGTGAAACTGTGTGCTGCAGTCGCTTTAAGGGGCTTTTGGGCGTGGCCTTAGCCTCCGTTTTACTCGGTCTGGGGCGCCAAAGACCGGGCATAATTTAAGCCAAACTCAATTTTCTTATACCCTCGCCAAGGAGCGCTATAAAACGAAAGGTACTCCGAAATCATGAAACTTCATGTGGGGTTTTTGCTTGAGGACAGTCTCTCGAGTTTGATTGTAAGACTTCAAGGTCGAGTCAAATGTTATATTCCAACAAAAAGGTAGTAAGCATAGAGAAAGTAAAAAAAGTATCATCTTGAATAAATTAAACAACATTTATGGAATACTTAAATTAAGTGAATCATCACAGAATTTATTCAAAAGCTGTCAGAGCAATTCTAAGTTCGGTTTCCCAAGCTGCTGCGTTTTCTGTTTGCTTATAGTACTTTAAGGGCAGACAAAAGAGGCTGGGAAATAGAGAGTGCAAACTAACTAAAATATATATTATGTGCTGTGTATACAAAAACGAAAACAATTTTGCGGCGCGATAAACGAATTTCCCGACTTTTGTTTTTGCTTGCCAGCTGCTCCTCCTTCCTTTTTGGCACGAAAAGGATTTTTGGCAGCTAAAAGGCGAGTCAAGGATAACATGGCAACATTTCGCAGATTTGCAGGCAACAGCAGAGGGGCTGGCCTAAAACGGCGGGCCAGTGGATCTGACACGGGTCCAGATTGCATTTCCGGACGACGATTGCCAACAAACTGGCAGTGAAAGGGACGCTTCTAAGGAGGAGGACTTCGGCCAGGATAAGATCTCATCTGGAGGGAAGGCTGCAATTAGTCAAATGAGCAGGACGTGAGCCATATTTCATCAGGATAAGACAACTTTTGACTTATAGCGGCCAAGTCGACAAACTTTTCCACAATTTATGCCTGCCAAGCCATCGAACTTCGCCTGAAGAAATTGCGTGGGCCAATGCCACATTCATCATACGCCTAGTTGTGCACGCTTTAAATCAGATTAAATGCCTAGAGTTTAATTCCCAAAACAATCTCAAAGTTTCACCATAAAAGGCAGCTCTCGTGTCCCTAAACCGCAAAAAAAAAACCATTCCGGAAAATATGAAAGAAATTAAAAATAATAGCGCACATAAAACCACAAGCTGCCAGGGGAGGCTGGGAAATTAAGCGTGAAAAAATCAGTGAAAATGCCTGGAAAATATAGCGGGACCCAAACTGACTGACTGGATGTCTGGCTGACTGGTTGACAGTCTCGTCTGGCCTTGGAAATCCTCCCATTCAAGCGCGCTTAATTCAGAGCATTAAGGATATCTCAGTCCGAGGTTGTTTACATGCGTGTGTGTTTTTGCCTAATGCGCACTGAAAAAAAAGAGCGCCAGCCTTTAAAAATGTTTCATTTATTGGCTCTATTACCTTGTGTTCGAAAAACACTGTTTTGCTACTGGTTAAAAAAGTAAGCTGTTTCTTTTCTGGGGCTTAAAATTTAAATTTGCGTGTTTTTCAAAGTGCACATATGCATATTTGTCTGTTCGCGCTTTTGTTTATCTTGAATTTGCCTGTCGCCTTTTTTTTGCACTTTTCCCCATATTTATTATCATGTCGGTTTCGGTTTGTGTTTCCGTTTCCGCTGTTTTCCCGCTCTAATGAAAACCTCCAACTGTCTTCTTTTTTTTTTAGGCTGGCGTGGCAAATGTTTATTATGTGATTATGCTCGAGTTTAGCGCCCGTAGCGCAGAGGTCTATTCCAGGAATTCCTGTCCCGTCCTGGGACTTTCCTTTACATTTTCCGCCTGCTCCCTGCTGACTGCTGACCGGCGGCGGGATTTGGCCTTTTGCCTGAATTTGTTTGTTGGTTTTGCTAAGGCTTCCTTTTCCTTCCTCTTTCGCTTTAAAGCTTTTGTCATCCCTTATGGTCGGATGTCTCTGGATCGGGGCCCGCCTTGTCGTTTTAAATTACATTGTTACAAGTGCTTTGCTACTGTCCTGTCATCTTTCGTAGTCCGTGTCTTCGCAGGAAGACTGAAACGATAATTTATGGCAGGCTGAGGCTTAGCCCACTCGTAAGGTTAAAGTTCAGGCAGTGGATCAGGTTTTGGCCATCATAATTGGATGGCCAGGACACGCCAGGGGCCACTCATTAAGCCGGAATTGTTTGAAACTGGACGAAAAAGGCTTTTTAAATTCTGCGTACAACACTTGTCAGGATAAATACGCGCCCGCCACTTAAGTTAAGTAAAGTTCAACGCCTCACAGGCACTCCATAAGTATTTATAGCCCACGTCAAGTGCTGGATTTAATTATATACACTCGTACATCTGCTCAAGAAAGAGCTGGGCAAACACATCACAGCGAAACATTTGGCAAAGCAAACATCAAGAGCGATTCCATTAAAAAGCATTTCCAAGTCAGGACGCAGGACGCACAGCAGGAGCGGAAAATGGGAAGTGTAAGCGGAAAATTAGGGGAACTCAATGGCATTGTGCGAACAGTGTTTTCGGTGCGCAGTAATTAACTGGTCTGTCACATAAGTCGCATTAACACAATGTTATAAATGTTCTTGCAGCTGGCTCTTCTACTCGTAGTGCCAAACATTGCATGTCAGCCACATTAAGTATACGCCACATGCGGCGCATTTACATAGATTTGCAATGTCGTGGCATACGAAATATACGAAATGGCAGCCAGCTTATTAATTCCTCTTCCGCCTGACTGTGCGTGCGTGTGGAAAAAGTTTTTTGTTTCCCAAAAGTTTTGTCTTCAACTCGGTCCAATCTTCCATGCAAATTAATTAAAGCCGAATCCCGTTTAAGGTTCATTCGGTTTTGCTCAGTTAATTAAATTGCCATGTGAGCGACCATGAATTGAGTTAATTTGCGCAAATCCAATGCACAATCAAAAGCCGCAAATTATCTTCAATATTTTCCTGCTGGCCGTGTGCATTTTTTCCCCTTTTTTTCATCGCAAATTGAGCGGATAAAATTGCAACAAATACAGAAAGGAAAAATAATTCCCGCTGCCTTTTGATTTAATTTTGCGGCTGTTGGCCGTGACAAAGTATATGGAAAACCGGAATGCAACAGTCCGGGCAGAAAAGCGGTAATTTTAAATTAATGATTGCAGTTTGAGTTTAAAATGGCAGACTTGTTTTTAATGTCATGTCATCTGATTCGTTTGTTAAGTCCTGTACAATATTTAAAATGAACAAGTTACCAGTATTTAACGCTCCTACCTATGTCAAGGAATCAGGATTTTAATACACTTGATTACTTCAACGCCTTTAAGCAACACCTTTAACTTTCAAGTTTAAAGTGTTTCTTCTGGATAAACTGCTCATATGGAAGTGCTGAGATTGCCCAAACATGTTGTTCCAGTTGGTTAAATAAAACCAAAACACGCACACAATTATCGCCTCAAAATATTGATTATTAAGCGCATCTCAAATGCCGCTTAAGCAAGTGCCACGCCCCACTCACACCAACCGCCCCTTTGTCTAGTTTTTGTTCCCATTGTTGTGTTTTGGTATTGTGTGACCTCTGTGTTCGGTGAGTTTTTTTGCTCGCTGCTTTGCATAAAAAGTGACAATCTCTATGTCTGCGTTGGATTTTCCCCTTTTCCCCGTATTATTTTCCCGTTTGCCCATTTCCCCCGCTTTTTGCACACTTGTTTAGAATGCAGACCGCCATTTGCGGCTGCTAATGAAGTAATTTCCAGGCATATCACGCATAATCCAGGGCACGTGAGCTACTTACAATGTAATTCGTTGTCTATTTGTCTGATATTGAAAAACGTTCCTCACGACACAGCTCACGGCGAATAGGGGTTAAGCCACGCCCCCGCAACGCCCGCCCCTCAACTCGCTTCTAATCAGTGGTGTTAGCGATGGATTGCAAAATATAGCTAAAGTTATGGGCTTCTGAAAACTAGGTTTAAAGTTGGATACGAAGAACATCTTTAGTTGGTTTCCAATAATAACTTACAATAAAGAACTTTAAATATTTTAAACGATATTAAGAATTTTAAATAAAATATAAATTATTTTTGAAAATGTAAAACAAAGTTAAAAAATCATTGGCACTAGTTTAAGATACCATTTACAAATGCACTACAAGATATGAAATACCATTCGAGTATGGAACTATTTCTGCCTTTAAGTGCAGCTATTTATCGAGGTATTACATAGCCAACAGCGCAACTCTGCTCCTAATGCCCTGGAATGCTGCATACTCTCAGGCGCACACCCAGGGTCGACGGTTTGGACTGTTCAAGTGCAATTCATTGTGATTATTACGTGCCATGGCATTGAAACGCTTACTTGCACACATCGATGCTGTGGACGCCATCAGTTCGATCTCTGGCCCACAGAATGTGGCCAAAATGGGCGGGAGTGGTGTTATTAATTGCTTACAGCATATTTCAATATGCGATGTAAGCCGGGCCACACAGCTTGACCATCGACGGGCAAACAGAATTAATAACTTAATGCTCGGAAAAGTTTCACACCCGCAATGATTGAGGGCGAGGGCGGAAGAACACAGAGCTCAGAGCTGCGAACCAATACGCACAATAAGTAACGATTACAATCTCAATTACTTCGACCTTTTGTGGGGCCCACGCCCCCTTATTGTTGGCGAAAATTAACTAGAACGGATCCATTGCCCGGATCAATAGGCAAGCCCCAACTAATCTCTGGGGTCGAACTTACTCTAATTATACGCAACATAAAACTCACTTCCAACGAACTTGCTTCCGCCTCGGGTTCAATATTTATTGACTGGGCTTGTCTGGGGACTAAGAAATTGGTTTAGTTTTCACTCGCTTTTGTAATTAAAACTTGTTTGGTTAAACATTGCTTGACTTTTTAAGTTTAGACGACAAACTAAGTCAAATATTTTCCTTAAAAGATTTATTTTACTTAATTATCTTGCTTTTTGTGTGGCAAAATAAATTTTTGCAAAAATATAATAAAATGTGACAGCACAAAAGCCAGAGGTATATTTGAACAGAATTTGCGGACGGAAAGCATTTTAAGTGAGTATGCTTAAAGTGTAGAACTAACTTAAAAGACCAAAGCAATTTGAAACACTTTATGGCAATTTGGCTTGCTAAATCAAATGCAATTATTAAATTTCATGCGTTTTAAATAGAATTATTTTCCGAGATTGCAAACTGTTTGTAGATTTTTTTTATCTAAATGGTTATGCACATTTAAAAGTCATCCAACATAATTCTTTTCTGAGGTAATAAAAATAGTTGCCTACTTACAAGGGTAAATATTATTACGTATACGCAGCGTGTGCCTTGCTACTTCTTTATGTACCTTTAGACTTTTTCTCCCCCAAGTTATTTCTGGTTATTTTTTTCAAGCTGCACTTCTTGCGGCTTAACAACTGCAGGGGTTCTGGGTATCTTTCCGCTGTCTGCTGAAGCATGCCACATGGCGTATGCGCAATTTATGACGTGAACAGACCCAAGGACTATGTGTTTATTGGGTTCAGCACGAGGGGCGGCGTTCTGGACGGGAGCATAAAAGTTGTGCGATAATAACGAGAGCTAATGCCGCACTCAAAACGCTTTCCAAACAGTTTTGCAGTTTCCTATGCGCTTAGAGAAAAGTAACTCACAAGTTGGTTGTAAAAATATGCTTCGTTAAACCAGAAGTAGTGTCAAATCAAAAAAATAAGAAATCCTTTCTTTAAGTTACAACTGTCTGCATGTTTGCTAGCATACTTAGTATGTTTGGTGAAAAGTTCTCGTGGAAGAGCTATTTTTTTCCAAGTGTCGCCTCATAAACTGACCCTGCATAATCTGTTCCTGCATGTTCCTGGTATTTTCCCTTGCAACTTAATTTTCTCGGCAGTAAAGCTGACTAAAATAGTTTCTCATAAAGCACTGCAGTCCTTAAATTTTCCCGGCTTTTCCTGGCACGGGGCCTCTGACTCTGGCAGCCAAGTTGTCAACAATGTTCTCGGGGGTATCTCACTTTGTAGTGCGGGTTAATCATATGCAGGGGAGCAAAAAGATGGGGGCCACATGCATCACCCGGAGATTGTCCAAGCGAGCTGAAAAAGTGCATTCAATCTTCGTCCATGTGGGTTTTTGGGTCTCGAATCTGCCACAGATTGTTAGGATCTGCAGGAAATTGTGCCCGGAAAGTATTTGCAATGTGTGCCAGGCATTTGTCGTCCATTTTGATTGCGCATTGTGTGTGCAGCAGCTTTGTTTTGAATTTTTATTCGACGTTTAATGCCATTGCTGGCATATTTCGGGTCGAGCTTTATGCGATTTATTGCATTTTACTTTTGACACCCATCAGAAGTGCAACAGTTGCGGCATTCATCTGAAATGCTTCTGATTTTCTGATTTAAATACGACCTCCGCCTTGAACTTGTGAAGGGAAACGGCGTGAAAGGAAAATCGCATTAAATGCATTTTTAATTAAAACGAAAGCAAAGTTGAAGGCTTAGGGGAAATGCGTCTGCGGATTTCGTTCCTTCAGCGCAGTGAAGTTTTAAGCCGGCCGCAGAAAATTAATTAAAATTATATAAACATTCCTTGGGACTGTCGGACATAAAGAGGAACAAACACGGCCAGCCGGGTGGTGATGATGATGCCGCCGAGGACGAAGACTCCGATGGATGATGGCGACGACTGCTGGCAATATCAGCAAATAGTTCCCATGCAATTCGTACGAAATTCACGCTGTTTGAATTGTGCAAATCGGATTTGTACGTGCCTACAAGCCTGGGGGATCGAGGGAAGGGCCCGTCCGTAAGCTGGACAAATGTTTGGCCAAGCGGTCCGCCTCGGTGTGAGCTCATATGTGCGGTTCTTTGATCCAACATTTGAGCGAACGAATCCCTGCCCCAGTCCCTTCCCCTTGACCCTGCGTCTTGCCATTTGCCTTTGGCTCCACGCAGTCGCACACACACAGCTCTTCTTTATTTACTTGCATTTTTTGTGTTTGATTTCGAATTTAGCGCGCACAATTTCGCTCTCTAGCAGCTTTTTTGTGTTGCACACTACACTTGGGTACACACAGAACAACATAATATGATTTACAAAAATATTTAGATGTTATATATAGGGATATTTATTTCCAATTGTTTGCTTTTCAAGAAGTAGTTTCCCATCTCAGATTTAATTTCAAATTTAAGAGTATACCCCGTAAATTAAAATATATTTTTTACTAGTGTATCTGGAGTATGTGTGTGAGTGCGTGCGATGGCGTTGGGTTTGGCAAACGGTTTGGCCGCCTGGCTGACTGCCACTTTGACCCATTTGGCAGCAGGAGCCAGCCAAGTCAGCGCAGTCACAACGCGTCCTCACGGCGTTCCTATTTCTGGCCCTTCCATTTGCATGCAGCGAAACGAGTCGAAACGAATTGAAAGTTACCAAGCCAAGCGAACATGACACTGCCAGCCGAAAGTTGGCAGCCGTAATTCTCACAAAGTATCAACCAATGCTCCAATGTTTGCACACTTTCGTGGCGCAGTGTCCACCGTTTATATGCGATTATACTGTGGGATGCGGAATTTATAGACCTTCGATACTTTATTGAGAGGCTCGTAATAAACATTTCTGGTTTGTCCTCCAACCACCGGCCACACGGCGTATGCGCATTGTCCATACATGTGTTTATGGCGGCAGGAACTTGGCGCCGTTCAGACGACAATTGACTCAACTAAGCCAAGGGCCAAGACACATGCCCTGGAGGGAGAAGAATTATACTTTAAAATACTCCTCGCTATTAGTGAATCCAAATTGATTTTTAACATTTAATTTGGTGGGCCCGCCATATGTCTTTTGGCTTTTGTTCATGTCGACTGATTGATGTTTTTTTGTGGTTTATTTAATTCAATTACTTTATTTATGAGTCAAACCATTGGGGGTTGGTTTCTGTGTGTGTCTTTTTGTGGCCACACATTTGTCGACTCGTAAAGCCGCTTAAAATATGAACAGCTATCTTCAAAATAATAGGGGTCTTTGATACTTTTTAAATTAAATAAGGTGGGTAACATTTTGATTGGTAATCAAGTAAAGAAATTGTATTCATGGTGGGTTTAATGCTGCACACAGCTGTATTTAAGCATATTCGAGTTGATTTTAAATGTATACATTTTCATTGTATTACTGGCATTGGTAATTTCATCGAATTTTATTTTAATTTACTTTTCGTTGTTGCATATTGTTTTGCTTCATTTTGCTTGATTTAAAATCGAATATTTATTTATTATGCCATGGCTACCGGTTTTTGCTTTCGCTCGCCTCGTTTGGCCATTTGATTAAAGTTTATTCCTTTTTTTTGATTTGTCCATTTTCAGCTGACATTTTATTTGGACTTTTGTGCAGTTAAAATGCAATGGGAATTTTGTGGGAATTGCTTCATTAGCGTCGCTTAATTGCCTCATTCAGAGCTGAACGGTTTTCAAATGGTTTCCTTTGTTTTTCCGCAGCCGCCTCAAGCAATTGTCAAGTGGAGATGGAAGGAAGGAAGGCAATTTGCTGTCATTTTGTAAATCACTTACATGACTTCCCCATCCGCTGTTTTGTTTGCTAATTATCCCTGCAATGTGTGCGCAGGAATTCGGTGGAATTTCCATGCCGTTGTTACTATTGTTTCGCCATCTGAAATCCCAGCATGCATGGCATCAATTAAAGACCCAATAAAATTCAATCGAACGCGCTGTTTTTCACTCGATTGAGCCACTAATTGAGCGTCCATAAAAGTCGATGCGGTTTAACTAGCATTGACCCAGTGGCTGTCAAACTGTTGGCAGTCTGCTAAATTGGCAATTTGTTCGGGAATGTTGGCAGGCAAATGCCAGTAAGTGCGAAGGATTTTTTAAGGGATTATAAATGGTGAATCTTCCTGATATTTAAATTTAAAGTCTCAGCTTGAAATCTTAAAAATTTATTTAAACTGTAGTAGGGATTATTTCTTTCGATATTTTTAAAGAATACTCTATATGGCACATTTGCAGCCAATCTCGTGTTTTTAATACATCAAAGACAGAGACCCATTTCCGAGGCAAACAAAAACATGCGGAAGCATTAAGAGGAACGCGAAATGAAAACTAAGGAAAACGACGACAATAGAGTCCCCCATTTTCGGTATCATTGCGACGAGCAAAATGCTTGGGCAATTAATACAAATGACGCTGATGAGCGGAATGATGATGGGGATGAGGCCGAAGAAGCTTTGCAAGGATGCGCTGCGAGGATGCTGCCCCAGTGGGAGATCCCGAGGAGCAGCTAAAAGCCAGTCCAAAATGAAATGAGCAACTCGCGCTGGGGGAAGGATGGGGGAGGAGCAGCTGCAATCTCAACTTCACATGCATGAAAAATGCAGCTCATCTTCTTAATGCGCGCGACGTGCCAGTGGAGCAGTTAGGAGGATGGGGAAGCGGGAGGGGGAGGGGGTCGCGGATGTGGGGCAGGAAAGGCGGGGATTTCAGCAATGAAAGCTGCTTACTCACACTCATCCCATTCCCTTCCGCCCCTCGTCCCACGCCTCTGACTTGTTTGTTTGGCTGGATTTTGCTGTAGCTGTTGCTGAACATGCTCTTTTGGCTGCCTTGGCAAATTACCGTCAATGGATATTGTACACTTCGGAAAATAGGAACTAACCTCAGTTGAAAAAAATTATTTTAATAATTTTATGATTTTTATTCTGTCATTTCTATTTGTAAGGGACTCTCTTTATTGTATTGAGTATTGAGAAAAAGTATTTTAAATAGCTTAGAAAACTATTCAAGAGAAATTATAGTTTATTATTTTAGTGTATGGCTTCTAGGTTTGTAGTGGTGAACCAACGGGAGTTTTGGTGCAAGTGTGTGTGGATTAACGCTTTATAAATTGTTAATTATAATGAGTCCAGTAGCGAACAGAACTAGGAGAGCAACAATGGCGACATGATTTACACGAGAGCTTAAGGTTTTATGCGGGCAGAAGCACAGAAAAATCTGGAGCACATCGCGGGTTAAGGGTTAAGGGAGCCGAGTGGGTCCTGCGGCATCCGAGGGTTACTCGTTGCTGGGCCACCTCATTATAACCAGGATGCCTGTGGGCGCTTATCCGACTGACATTTCGTTTTTACACATCAACAGCTGCCGACAAGCGCACGTTCCACGGGGCGTATGGGCGATGCCACATGGCGTATGGATAATGCCCACAGCCGCATAGTTATGGAATTAGAATTACAGCAATAACAATCACGATTATAGCGAAGAGCTGGGGTTGGACGCTTTATTCGGTGGGATAATTTATATGCAGCTCGAGGGCTGATGATGCAGCTTACAACTAAAAATTCCCCTTCATTTATAATGCAGAGAATGCAGAGAATGTTGCACGCTCGCACATTGTCTCTGCTTCTTCAGCCAGCTTAGCAGAGAGAGAGATGGGGATAAAGAGCAGAAGGAGACAGGGATAAAGGCAGAAAAGGACAAGCCCACACACACACACACACACCCACACACACACACGCATTACAGCCACGTGCTTAGCAGATGATGATGATAGATTTGCTAACAATTGCTGAGCTCAAGCCGAGTTCTGCTCCTGCCATCTCCGTCTTTCTTATCTTGGCCAATGCCGAACAATGCAAGTGGGCCATCGGTAACATCGACCTGAAAATTCCCTAAAAAGGCAAGGACTAAATGCCTTCCACACAAATTAATGGATTAATTATTCCCATTTTATTAACTTTCAACTAGAAAATATGCAAATCCCTCTATACCTGTTCACAATGTTTAATTTTTATTAATTAAAATCATACATTTCCATGATAATTGTATATAACGTACAAAAATACTAAACAACAGTCAATTAAATGTCGTAAAGTGTCAAAGTGGTTATTAGCCCACCAAAGTTAATTAGTGTAGTAAACGGTATATATTAACAGAATTAGATAGTAGTCAATAATTAGTTATTATTTGCATTTAAAATATTCCATCAGAGTTAGATAGAGGCCAGTAATTAGTTATTATTTGCATTTAAAATATTCCACCAATTCAAAGTGCCCAGCACTCCTTCACTTTCACCAAGAGTATTTGCAAATTACTTGAACATATTGCCAGACATTGTTGTTGCCACTTCCTTGGCACTCGGGCCCATATTTCTGCTCCTGTCTTCCCCAATCCTTCCCGGATTTCACAGTTCCATGTGCGCCCTGCTACTTTGTGATAAATTTGGCCCCATTTAGTGTTGCCGCAACACCCACGCGATCAGCAAGGACGCCCCCTCCGCAGGATATCATTTTTCAAGTGGCATGGAATCTGTTCAAGCCTCCTGAAAAATCCCAGTCCCTCACGGAATCTAACTAAGCAGAAAAGTTGCAGATCCCACAACATGGCCTAAAGCAAACAATCAATCCATCAAATCGGCAACAAATAAATATTTTTTTGCCTTTTTTACCAATGAGTGCAATTTTGTGTTATACTCGCTAATTTGATTCGTCTGGTCAATTAGCTTCACCTAAAGTTAATCTACCAAATTGACAGCTGTTTTTTTTTACTTTTTATTCATGGCCAATAGTGCGCTTTGCTGTTTATAAAAAACAATTTTTTTCTGCATGCATTTTATAATATGTAAACACTATTGAAGAAGACATGGATGTGCGGGAATAACTGGGGGATTGGGTTTTCGCTGGCTTAATTGGCTCATTGTCTTTGACATGCTGGGATGTCAATGCTTTGTTTGGGTCCCATAGAAACCCACTAATTGGGATTCAGCTTGACTTCAGCTGTGGCCGCGTTCAGGCGCGACTTGGTGGGCAGGATGCGCTCCTTCTTCTCCACGAAGATCTGGTAGTGACCCTCGCCGTAGCCAAAGCCGTGCATGCTCTGGTGCATGGCGTCCGGGATGAACTTGAAGCCGCCGCGGCGCTTCCGGAGGATCTCCCTCTCCGGCAACTGGGCCTTCTTCTCCTCCTCCTCCGAGGGATGGACGGCGCGGTTCTCGATGATGCAGAAGAGCTGCAGGCACTTGCGCATCACGTAGATCACCAGCAGGATGATCAGGTTGGTGGCAAACAGATGTTTGCGAGGCGCTAGGAATAACATCCTGGCGAATGGCACTGGGTCTAACTATCACAGACACAAACTCACGAGCTCTCGACGGCAGACGATTCAGGGCTGACTATCGCTGTGGAAGGACATCGACGGAATGAAGGATCCCCTGCAAGATGAGCGTATATATACCCTCGAAACTGCCTCTACCTAAGTAAAGTACCTTATGGCATTAGGTAGGTAGATCCGTAGGTACCTCTGGTTTTCCTGGGGTCTAGACTGTACCTCCGGAGTTACCAGGTAATGGTACCACATATCCAGGGTCTAGTCCTTCAGATTAGGTAATCAGCCAGGACGACTGCGGCGGCCAAATGTGTTTATGATTTAGCGGAATGGAACTTATCGACAGGCAGAAGTGACAGACGGTCGAGCAGCAGTAGCAAATGCATCAGTGGCCGTAAATACAGCATTAACTTTTCTTCCTCAGAAAGGCAAGTCTGTTCAAGTTTCCAACAAAGGTTTCTTATAAACAGGGAGAAAAATAGTTAAAATGGTGTTCGAAGGTACAAGTACTGGTAATGGTTTGGAATTTCCCAATCATTAGCTAGCAAACAAATGTAAGCGTATAAAATAAATCTTAATATTTATATTGTATGCTTATTGTTTGTCAACATCAGACCCACAAATATTCTTATCATTTTACAATAAGATTTTATTCAAATGTTTCTGCATTAATATTCATCCTCATTTTTTCTTCAAGAACCCTCTTGTAAAGTGCTCTCAGAAATGCTCCTATGATAATAAACACCCACTCTGAATATCGAGTTTACTTAAAACCCCCTTTTTCGTTTAGTGCACTACTCGCAAAGTCTGCATCCTGGCCCACTGATGCATCTACGGCAAACTGAATTTCCCCGGCTTTGTCGTCGTCGTTCCCGGCAAAAAAGTGGCATAAATTCACAAATTGAATATAAATAAATTTCCTGCCAGGCAATCGCACCGAAAAAGGGGAAATAAATACGTTCGAAGGAGGCGGCCACATACTCGCTCGTGGGAGTAGATATAGATAGCACGTGCCACGCCCAGTCAATTGAATTTGAATGTCGACTAGGAAGCCGGCGAGGGCATAAAAATGGGAAAAATATGTTGGCCAGCAGGAAAGAAAGGCGGGCGAGAAAGCTGGCGGCGACCTCGATTTAATCAATGGTCCAAGTACCACACTCATTAGGAAACTAAAAGTTTTTTGCACTTTTTCACCTGCTTAAAATGCGATGGGGGTTTGTCGCAAAAAATGTGTAAAAAGGGGAATCCCCCGAGGAGAAGTTGGCCAAAGTTTTGAGGAAGACCCCGGCTAAAACAACCTCATTGGCCGCGGCGACTTTTTGCTTCCTGGCTTCGATTTTCCGCTCACAGTGCATCCCAAAAGTCCGGCACCAGCTGCGTCCCCAGCAATTTGCCTTCATTTGTTGACTTAATCATTTGATTGCGTTTTTCTGCACGCGCTGATTGAATTTTCCCTCGCAACCGCAACCGAAAAGGCAGCCGAGCCAAGGCGAAAGTTTTGGGCGTGTCCCTCGGTTGCGCAACCCTGCTGGGAAATCAAGCTAATTAGTTTAATTGATAGTTGTGACTCGAATCGGGCGATTTGGTTTTGCAATTTCACTCCGCTTCTGCGAAACACGCAAACAAATCTGAAAAGTTTTGGCAGAAGGGAGACCAAAATGGTCGGACACTTGCAGACAGATGGCGATATGATTCGGCTAACAAATTGCTTGATCGTTAAAGTATTCACAGTGCAAACAGAGTAAGATAGTTCTCTGAGTGTTTTTAAAGATGTTTGGCTACAGAATTCTGAAAGTATATCTTATATGGCTGTCAATGTTATTACCAAGTGTAAATATTCGAGCATCTCATTTTATCCGCGTCTGTATTTCATTTCTTTTGCTTCAAAATAAATCAGCAATCAATTGAAAATAAATATTTCCCCCTAATATTTATATGTGCCGCATGTGCTGGCATTAAATATGAGTTTTGCGTGGTGGCCCAATAAATCGCTCGGCCATTCGCCGGTGCTCTACATGAGGTGCTTTCGATGGTACGTGCCTGGCCAGACCTTCCATAAATATTTATGAAGCTCCGCAGATCTGCATCCCAGCTATTGTTCTAACTGATTTTCCGCGGCGAGCATAAAAAGTCCGAAACAAAATCAACAAAAAGTGTGGCTTTAACCTGCGCCCGGTGGCTGTTTCCCAGTTAACCGGGGCCAAGTCAGTCGACAATAAATTATGCATTAAAAAGTTCAACTTGCTTTTGATTGTGTTGGGGCATCAACGGCGAGGTCCATGCTCCTTCAACCTAATGATGCCATTCGCGGAGTTCATACACTCGAACAAATTATAACTGCTCTTATTTATGATGAATTATAAACACATTTAGCTATCCTTAAAAGCGCGGTACAGAAAAGTAGTAACAATGGCTTCACTTGAATATACATTTTATTGAAGTCTAACAGCACTTCACCAAAAACCGCTATGAAGTGGAGCAAAATTGGGTGGGTTGTCTGAGGAAAAACTTTTCCCAAAGTGTCTGTAGTCCTTTGCCACTATCTGGGCTACCTGTCGCCAAAGTTTGCTGCTCGAGGAGCTATTTTAAGGGCATTATGCTGCAGTCGCAGTCACGCTGCCAGAAAGCAGCCAGCCAAATTTATTCTAATGCGATTTGCATTTATTTCGCTTGGCGTAATCCTGGCTTCCTGCTCGACGGCAAGAATCAAGTTTAAACTCTATAGAAATTGCAATTTTCATTCGGTTAGACAACACTCTGGGAAAAAGGCCAGTTTATGGCCTTTCAACTGACCATAATGCTAAAAACTGTCTGCTTACTTAGCTGAAGGATTGACACAGCCGTCGGAGGAGCGGAGAGAAATGAGACCATTAGCCAAAGGTACATAGCAACAAAACTAGCAGAAGGAGCGTAAATAAAAGTGGTTTCTGGGGTCGGAGGACGAGGGCGAGGACGAGGTGCATCTGCATCCATCAGACCAAACAATTTCCGTCAAATTTCCATGCGCCGACAAAAGCTTTTCACTTGAGTGCCAGACAAAAGGCCAGACCAGAAAACAGGAGCTCAGAATACCGGATTGCAGGCGTGCTGCTGCAGAACGAAGATTATATTCTCTATTTGCAGCCAATTAGTAGGATTACAGCTGCCCCAATTGTTGAGATATTCAGTCGATCTAACTAGTAACTGCAGGCAGTTAAGTCAGCGCAAGGTAAACATTTCCATCTAATTCACCTTTAGTAAATCCCCAAGCTAATTAAAGGGTATCTCAGATTTCAACAGGATTTGTTTGCCCGATCCGTTGGCCTCCTTCTTGGCAGGCGTTTTCAAAGCCCATTACTTTGCATTTTGCACCTAGCTACAATATTGGGGCGAAACACGTCGCTAATGGGCGTGGCAGACAGCGCGTCAACGCCTTTACTTTGGCATAAATCCAGAAAATACCAAGTGTAAATCTGCGGCCAAGCGAGGCGTGCAAATGATTCTGTAACGAACGCTGTCACTCTGCCTTTCATTCCGCTCCGACAACTTGGATCTGATTTCGCAGTTAGTTTAAACTGGCCAGCCTATTAACATATTTATTGAAACATTAATGTGTCAAAAAAGAAAAGGCGGTAGGGAGCTTTATCTTGCTTCAAAAAAACCACATAACCACAGCAAAAACATAAATGAGAAAACAGGAATTACATTGTGGATCAATATCATAATATTTTGACAGGCAATTCGTTTTAGCATAGTCATTGTATTTACATAAATCAAAATTATTTGAAAAAGGTAATTTAAAATAAATAAAAACGCAGAACCGTTTAGTTATAGGGGAATCGAATACAAAAGAGTTTAGGTTTTAAATACAAGAAACATATTTAAAAGATTTCTTATTGAAGGTAGTTTAAAAAAGATTGAGGTACAGCCCACCAAGTAACGAACGCCTCACACCTACCATAAAAGCTGTTTTAATTTGAAAACCACATGTACATGTGGTCATATTGAAGGCAAAACCGCCGAAAGGGAACTGAAGTCATTAGCCAAGTTCGGATGACTGGGCGCCTGCATCCGGCGATGTCATTCGAAAGTCATTAGTGGCACGAGAGGGCCAAATGGGGAAGGGGGTCAGGTGAACTGTGACCCGAACTGCAGGCAGCGTAATTTGATTGCGAGGCCGGTGAGGTGCTAACCGGATTCGGGATTCCGCCACTTGGTCAGCGCCAGATGCATTTGATTAAATGCTGCAGCGGAGCTTCCTTTCTTGGCCAACCAACCGTTCTGCCTGCCCAACCGACCTCTGGTCCCGGATCCCGAATTTTGAATGTTGAATCCTGGTCCGTGTGTCTTTAATTGCATTCGAAATTAAAAAGGCTTTGCATACTTTTCAGCGCCAGATTTATGTTTTCAATTCGTTATTTATGACGCTGGTCGAAACCGTCGATTGCCACTCGCTGAAAATACATTCAATTTGCACTGCATGAAGATTTATGATTTGAGCCACGGCCCCAAGCGACTGCAATAGGATTTTTCAAATCGCTTCCATTTAGCAAAACTAAACACATTTATTGTGTAAACTGTTGTCGAAAGCGGCGAATGGTTTTTTGAATATGTTCTGTCTGTTATCCCCACCAAAATATATGTTGACCCTGGCCACCTTTTATCTTTTTCCCACGAGAGCTAAATAAATATTTATTGATTTGCTCGTTTATTAATTTTTGAACCGATTTCAAGCTGCATAAAAAACGCCATAAAGAACACACAAAACGAATTCATTTTCATTTTATTGCAAAATGTGAGTGCTCTTTTTCAGCAAATCTAATAAAAATTAATAATAAAATGGGAAAAGTGTATCATTTTTTGCATATCTTTGACTATTGATCAAAAAGCAATATAGCAAAGTATATTTTATTTTCTGGTTTGGCTTTATGAGCTTTGCTATGTTTGCATCAATTATTTGATGGTCACTTTTGGAAAATGAAATCTATAAATATTTATGTTTATCTGGGTAAATATGCGCTCAATATGGTTGAATACATCATTTTGTGTTGTCGCCGTGATATGAGCATTGTAATTTCAATGTTCAACCCATATGTTTACTTGGGACGCAACAATTTGATTTAATTGGGTGTAGCTGGCGGATTTTGTTTATATTTATAAAAAGCAGATGTGTGTAAGATATAATGCTGAAATACTTTTAACTAAATATATTAGGTGTTCAAATGTTTATTCTTTTAAATGGATACTTTAACCTTTGACCCTCTAAAGTGTAATGCTTGTGTGTATTTAAGTCGGCTTTTTTCATTAGATGCTATCGGAACACTTGAAAGCTTTTTCCCCCATACTCAATCTCTTTCTATGTCACAACCAAAAAATGACTAAGCATAAAGCTGACCTAAAAAGCTCTTGCTCGATCGGCTTAGTTGGCGCTCGCTATATAGTCTCTTATCGGTAGAACGGCGATTCTCTTAACCGAGTACCTTCTCCCGATATTTGCTTTGCAACCCACGCTGGTTAAAGTTCAGTCTCACTAGGGATTTAATCGCCTTCTCCGGCGAAACACAATTTAGTTTTGTTTATGCCCTGCTGGCGGGCATTTCTCTTGTGCTTGTTCTTCTCAGTATTCAGCTAATTTAGTTGTTATATTATAAAAATAGAAAAGTTTCCCTAAACACACTGTCTATATATTTCCGACACGCGTTTGTCGGATTTAGTTGGGAGATTGTGTCATTAACATCGGACAGACAGCCAGCGAAAATGACGTCGAATTCCGAAGGTGGTGGCCATCCCACCGAGCACCATGAACAGGTAATTACATATAGTATATACTCGTATGGAGTTGCCGGATTCGGAGGGGGGCGTCTGCCATAAATAGTTATTAGACGTTATACGACCCCGTTATCGAGCCTAATAGATTTCCATGAAAATCCACCGATCAAACGCGTTTTAGCTGCCCCTTTGCTTTCGTGTTTTTACCTTTGAACGGAATTGCACTCTTATCGCCGTGGGCTCCTCGAGCTGATAAGATTCCCGTTAATGCGGAATCAAAGTCAATGTCTACCTGGAGCCATCAGCTACCGGTGGAATGATGTTTTAGTTAAGTGGCTGAGGTAGCAGAAACTTAGGCACAACCCTCTTAAAACGACCCAGAAAAAAGTGTTAGTAATTACTTATCAACGTATAGATAGTGATCTTAAAATCTAAATAACAAGCTAACAATGAGCTTATGTTATTTTTTCTGTGTGCCCTAATGGGACTAAAAGTATTATTCCTCGATTATCGGGCTCATTAGGAGTTCATCAAACTGTCGGTGGTGTGTTGCAAAAGTTATCCGTTCAATGCTCCCCTTACACATCCCTCCGCTCTTGAAAATGTTGTCACACTTGAAAATACCCGGCGCCAATTTTCGAGTTGAGCGACCGTAGTAAACCCAGAGATGGCAAAGTTTTTCCTGCGGTGGCAAACTACGAAAATCCATTTGGCGGAACTTTTGCGAGTTTGCATGTGCAGCATCAGTCAATTGCAGTAGATACAAAATCGTTTATCGATCGGAGCCGAAACAAAGGAAAAACTAGATGATGAATTGTCGCCCGGGCAGCTGTGGCACTGCGGGGCCTCCTGTCCGTCAATTGACACCTGGTCCCGGCCCCTAAAAACCCGCTCGGTTGTCAACCACTTCAACTTTTTCGCACGAACCAATTGATCAAATCGCTCGAGGATGGGGAAACACGCACCAGTACGCATCGGCGGAGATAAATGATATGGCCAGAGGCAGTGGTCTACAAACCGAACTGAAAGTGCACTCAAATTCCAATAAAGAGCGGTGGAGTGGATAATAATTAAGACTTAATTGTAGCTAGAGTTTGCGAGTCAGTATAATACTTATAAAATATATACTCGAATGATTTAGCCTACAAAAAAATATTAACTCTAGGGAAAGTCACAATTAAGTTTCATAATAGTTATTTTAAAGTGCAATATTTATCTTTTGAAGCATAGCCTCACCATTATAGTGCAATGTTCCGCATTGAGCTTAGTGTATTGTTAACACATTGGAAACAGCCATGCCCAAAATGGACTTTGGGAAATGCCAAAGGCGAATTTCCAGCCCGCCGGTCGGTCCTCATCCTCCGTTAACCCGAAAACCCAACTAAGCCAACTGGTTGGCAGCAGGCCGAAAGCAGCTACCAAGTTACCCACGGGCAATTAACAGCTAACAAGCTGGACAAACCCGCTCTCCTTGCCACCGCTCTCTAGAAACGACTTTTTGCACTGCTGCAGCTCTTTCCCGTTACTTTCCTACACTGGGAAAAAAGTACAATTCCTGGTGGGATGCAAGGTGCTCAAATCCATTTCTTTGTTAGGTAGTTCTGTTTAATTATAATAATTACAAACATTGTTATGATATTGACTTTTTGAATAGCTTGATCTTTTTTCAAACAATTTAAACAATGAATATCTCTAAACAATTCTCTCTGTGCATTTCAGGAGCCCATGGATGTGCGCATCGACATGCCGTGGGGCTACGTGGTGGGCAGGTGGTACGGAAACCGCCAGGTACGACCCATTTTGGCTCTCCACGGCTGGCTGGACAACCTGGGAACGTGGGACAAATTGCTGCCGCTGCTGCCGAAGCACCTGGGAGTGCTGTGCATCGACCTGCCCGGGCACGGATACTCCTCGAAGCTGCCGGAGGGGATCACCTACCACTTCGTGGACTACCTGTGCGTGATCCTGCGCGTGATGGAGGAGTACAGCTGGCAGAAGGTCTCCCTGATGGCCCACTCGATGAGCGCCATGCTGTGCTTCATCTTCGCCTCGCTGTACCCTCACCGCACCGACCTGCTGGTCAGCATAGACATAGTGAAGACCCGCTATCGGAAGCCCGCCTCGCATATCGACTACCTGCGCACCAACATCGAGGGCTTCATGCTGGAGGATGAGCGATTCGCGAACGCCAAGCGCCAGGAGCCGCCGGCCTACACCTACCCGGAACTGGAGCAGGTCCTCCACAAGGGCTCCGAGTACTCGGTGGAGCTGGAGAACTGCCGCCACATCCTGGAGCGCAACATCAGCCGGTCCACCAAGTTCCCGGCCAAGTACTTCTTCTCCCGCGACGGCCGGTGCAAGTACTACACCGAGTTCCACACGAGTCCGCCCTTCGCCGCCGAGCTGGCCAGGACCATTAAGAACGTGCCCTACTGCGTGATCAAGGGCTCCGAGTCGAACTTCATAGACGAGCAGAGCGACGAGGTCATCGGCATCCTCAGGGAGAACAACCCGCACTTCGAGCTGCACGAGGTGCAGGGCACCCACCACGTCCACCTGAACAACGCCGAGGGAGTGGCCGCCATCATAAACCCCTTCATCATGCACCACCGACCGCCGCACCTGGAGACCTGGACGGTGGACGAGGCGGAGGATTCGCTGCCCGAGGTGGTCAAGGAATTCAAGTTGGCGGTGGAGGACTCAGAGAATGTGAAGCGGAGGAAGAGAAAAAGCAACCTCTAGCTGCTGCCAGTATCTCTGAGATTCAAACAGCGGCGCGATGCGAACCTTTTTTAGAGCGAAAGAACACTGATTTCATTATGCCCTTGTGATGCTCCATTGAAGCCCCAATGTTTTAGCAAAATATGTAGACAACTTTAGCTGATTCTACTCTGATTTTATCAAACGGAAAAAGAATTTAAAGAATTCAAGATATTTGTTTGTAACTACTGAATAATAAATATTGTAAATGTTAAAGTTATACTCGTAATTTTCACATATATAGTTTAGAGTGTTTTAATGGCTCTTATATATTTTTTAACGCTCCACTTGCCACCACAGAATTATGTAATTCAACGAACCACAACCAGAAACTATTTCACCCACTTGACTAAAAAGTGTTCGGCTTCTGCAGTGAATATGTCCCACACTATAAACCAATTTAATTCGTTAGGCTTTCCAAGTGTGTGGTTATATCCACACACCTTTTTATCTCCCTTAACCCCTGACCGCATATTGAGCGGTGGTAACCGCAACCTAAATCGGTTTAAATAATTTTTCTCATTTATTTTCCGTCGTCGGTTCTGTGTTCTTATTTGGGTTGCGCACCTTTTTCGATCAATCAATTTTCGGTTAGCCATTTAATTTCGCTTTAATCTTCGGGCTCCAGTTCATTGGCCACTTCATTAGTGATAAGGGGATCGGAACTGCCGGTGGCACCCAGTTCACCCGTCTCGTTCCGATGCAGCAACAAAGGATGTGCCGGCATCCACTTAAAAACAATGGCAAGCCAGAAACAAAGGAGCGTGGAGTGTCGGGAGCGGAGGCTGCATGCTGTGTACATGGGCGTTCGTGTGGGAGGGCTTCCAGCGGGGCCGGAAGGTACGCCCCACTCTAAGCAGGAGAACGGATGGAAAAACACCGAAATCGAACCGAAAATCCGATGGCTGGATCCGAAAAGGGGAAGTCCTGCGGGGCTGGATGCCCTGCGGACCTGCGAGGCTTGAAAAAATAAACAAATTTAACGCTTTTATTGCCATTGCACGTTGCGGCTGCTCCGGTTTTGGGCTCCGGTTCTCCGTAAATTAAATTAGGTAGAACCGGAAAATTTCTCCCAGCAACAGCCGAGATGCGATTACGCTCTTCCGTCGTTACAGAAATTGATAGCGGATATAAATGTTTAATGTGTTGGCAATAAAAACTCTGGCCAAAGCAGTCGACTGATAAAGCGACTTTATGATAAATTCAGTTTGCGGTTAACGCACAATTTAATTTGCTTAAAAATCAATAAAAATAATCAACGTTGCCCGGCAGCTCAAAGTTGTACTTCGAAGTCTTCTTTGGGGGCGACTTAGCGTCTTTAAAGTTGTGAAAATCATATTCCTGGCTCATGAATGATTAATAATTTATGAGAAAGGCTTGTTGCAGCTTATTATTTTTTAATGGAAAAAGATAAAGAAGCAGTTGTGGCGAAATTAATTTGTAAGAAAATTAAGTGGACTTGATTGCCTTTTTATTTTGGAAGTTATATTTTTCCGAAACCAATGCATTCTGGTACATTCATCGAGCTGTGTAGAAAATAAAATTGAATTATTTCACTTTCTGTGACAAAGATAAATAACAGAGCAATCGCAGTGACAATTGAATGTGAATAATGATGGGGACCCGCAAAGCAGAAACAAGTGGTGGTTAAAGTGCACACTTTATTATCAGAACTTGTCGTTCTTTTGGCTGTCGGTGATGTCGCTCCCGCTGATCGGGTACTGCTGGAACACCCTGCTCCTGCCCAGCTGCACGGACGCCAGCTGGCTGGCGGGCTTGTTGTGGGCCAGAAAGTGGTTCGTGTGCCAGAACTGGGTCTGTTCCGGTGGCAGCGACTGCCGCCGGATGCCCAGCAGGCGGTTGCGCACATCCACCAGGCTGGCGGAGTGCGGCTGGAGCCACTGCACCACCGGAATGGCCAGGGCAGTGAGCACCAGGGTGACCACGCTGCCGACCAGCAGGGCAGTCCAGTGGTTCTCGGCGAAGAACTCGTACTTGCAGCCCTCGAGCACGACCAGCTGCAGGATGAATCCCGTGGCCAGGGCCATTTCCGTGTAGAGGAAGGGCGAGCACTCCAGCAGCCAGTGGATCCCCTGGCTCGAGAGCACTCCCATGGTGACGTATATGAGGCAGAGGAACAGAAAGCAGTGCTCCGCCTGGTCGTCGCTGTAGATGCACAGCAGGGCCACGATGAGCGTCATCTGGATGAGTCCGAAGAGCAGGTAGACCAGCTTGGGGGTGTACCTCATCAGGAGCAGGGCCCCAAGGCTGGAGCCGCCCGCGAACAGGACGAAGGGAATGTACAGCTGGGCGCGCTGCAGATAGCCCACTGTGCTGCTCCACATCAGCTGCATGTAGGTGGGCGAGAAGAGGAGGCAGCTCTTCTGGAGGTACACCAGGCTTCCTCCCAGTATCAGCACCAGCCACTGCCTGCTGTCCTCCAGTTGGTAGTCCGTTCGGCCCACGAACTGGGCCAGAATCGCCTGGCGCGGCAGGAAGACCATCCTCTCCTCGTTCAGCAGATTAAACACCAAGTCCCTGGACTCCTTGTAGTTAATGCAGCCCGTATGGTGCAGCAACTCGTTCAGACACACCAGGCAGAGTAGCAGCAAGTTAATTCCCAGGGCAATCAGTCCACTGCGCTGCGGTTCCATCTCGTTGAAAATCACGAACCCCGAGGTCATCCCTCCCACATACAGTGAGTTCGCCAGGGCAATCCTCGACGGCCTCGATCCCGAGGCATCGCATCGCAGGTTCACGTAGCTGAATCCCGCCAAGTACTGCACACTCAGTCCCACGAAGATGAAGTAATAGCTAACAGCTGGTGATTAAAAGTACAACGGTTTTAGGTGAATATTTTAGGCCAGATGAAAAGCCGGTTTTTTATGGAGTCTACTAAAAAAGTTTTGAGGTATGCTACTTTGAAATCGGGGTAAAATTATGACAGTTTTTGACTCTGGAAGTGTTGCTTTGATAATATACTGAATCATAATATTCTGTGGTTTCACGTCCCAGATGTTTCCGTTTTTATGCCCTTGCAGAGGGTATTTTAATTTCAGTTGCAACGCAGATTTGGGTTACATCCTAAAAATGTGAAAAAAAACACTGTGCGACAAAAAAATGTTTGAGTTGATTTTTTTCTTATTTTTCACTTCTACTAGTCAAAATAAGAATACAAGTTTTTGGATTTGTTAATATCAATAGCCAATCAGCTTCTACGCACACTCAAAGGTCCCAAAAACGCGTGTTTTTGCATATTTCACAGCCTTATAATACCATATTGGGAAAATATTTTTTCACCGTTATAAGCGTTTTATGCAAGTTCAATATCTATTAATTAAAATATATTAAGCAAATATACCGTTAGGCTTTTATAACAATGATTTCAAATTTTTTTCTCCCAGCTCTTTACTCTGGGCGACTACGTATGGAACTTGTTACGCGAGGATACCTCTGAAAAAGCCAAAAAAATCAGAAAAAAAATTTCACTTTAAAAAAAAATAATAGTTTATTGGAAGTAAAAAAAAAAATAATATTTTGTGTTAAATATTTTCATAATAATAATTTCATAAAATTTATCATAAAAAAAGAAATCCTATCACTTAGAAGGTGGCATAAATATTTTTGTGCATAACTTATGCCCCTTAACCAAAAACAATCAAAAAAGTAACTCAAACAAACATTTCGTTAAATTTTGTCGCACAGTGAAATTGATCCAAAAATCGAAGCCAACCTAAGGATGCAGTTGCTTAGGAAAAAATTACATAAAATCAGTTAAAAAACTTAGTTTTTTATCTCTATCTCGGTAAGTACTGATCTAAATATAAATTGGTATACACCGTTGAACTCGTAATAAAATTTCGAATCCGATGGCATTCACGCCTAAAAATGTTGAAATTTGGCCATTTTTTGAAAAAAATGATGATGTTACCCCTTATCAAAAATGCGAAAATTGGCCAAAAATCATTTTTTTTTTAATCGTCTAAAAAGTAATTGGGCTCGATTACCTTGGTCATAAGCTGCTCAAAACAGTGTTTGGTTCCGCTGTAAGTCACTTTTTGGCCCTAATACAACCGAAAAACCACTCTAAGTGTAGTAGTTTTACCAATATCGATATTGTTCAGAATTTATTCATTTTGCTCCTCATTTTTGATGATTACAATGGAATATAAGCCTCCTCTCTTGTTTTATATGTTATCTTTTACGATACTTGAACCACGGAAATATAAATGAACGGGCTAGGAATTCCACTGATGACTCACCCAACTGTTTAGTCAGCATAAAGCAGCTTCCCATCAGCGAGCAGAGGAGTCCGTAGAACATGATGTAGTAGTGATCGAAGCTGTACTGCTGCCTCTTGTGCTTGCGGAGGGTCCAGCCCAAGGTCAGAGCCAAGGCCACTATCCCGCCCACCAGGGCGTACCAATGGGGCCACGGGTTGTCGTACACATAAGCCGACTTGGCATAGTAGCCCAAGGAGAATCCACTGTCCCACAAGCAGCCGAGGACTGGAGATGGCAAACCCGTATGAAAAATGGGAGCTGAAATAAAATTGGCTCGCATTCAACTGACCTAGCAAATCCGGAAGCGACAACATGGCCAAGAAACGTTTCCACACGTTTTCCACCTGCAATGGCAGCTTCATTCAGGTGGAAATTTACGCCACATCTACTCCAAACGGGAACCGAAGTCGAAATGAAGATGCAGTCGAGGCTTGGGACTCTTTTCGAAGGTGGTTATCGTCGCCCGATACTTGATAAAACATCTTGTCGAGAATGTCTCCGAGGAGTGGATAAGATAAGAAGCTGGTTTGGAACAAGCTACACCCTAATTAAACGAAGATGATGATGATTTGCCGCAAATTGGGGCAGATAAGTGGGAGGGGGAGTGTCTCTCTAAAGTTTTAAAACAGAGCTTAACAATTCAACCTATTAATAGCTTTGTTTGAAGAGAAATGGTATTTTTAATTCATTGTGAATGAGAAAGAGAGGCTTAACATTATTGATAACTCTTGGTATAATAATATTAATTGCTTGCTAATTTGTAGCTAAATTATTTTCATATGTTATCTGGTTGATTCACACATGTTTGTTTAATAATTTTCTTATCACTTATCACACAATTTTCGCATTTTTATTACTAACGTAATTTATTAAATGGAGTATTTTATGTTATATCGATATGGAAATTCGAAAATAAAAATATGGAAAATAAATACCGCGTTCAATGTTTAACTGATGATTATTTTAATAAACATGATTGGTGTTTTAACATTTTATTGGTGTTTTAACATTCGTATATTTAAATTTAATAAAGCGCTATGCTTTAAACCGAATTGAGATCTTCTCCGCTAATCCCCTTTGTTTGTCTACTTACGTGGGTATATAGTATTCCCTGTTAGCCACAACTAACCCAAATTAACCCCTCCGAGCTTGACATACTTTCCACCTCGTAAAAGTCGGGTGGTCCCTCCCCGACCCAAAGACCCAGCCGTTCCCCTGTTTACATCACTCTTGCATCCTCTTCTAAAACCCGACGTTAAGTGCATTCTTATTTACCGCAAGCCCGAAAGCGTGCTACACATTTTTGTGTGTTTTGTTGGCTCCCCGGGGGTTTTTCTATACATATATATGTATGTATATATATCTGTACGTACCCCCACCACCAGATGCACTTCTCCACCTGAGGCAGCATCACGCTAATTAGTTGAAGTTGTGTTGCAAGTGTTGCAGTTAATTGACTTTTGACGACGCGCTGTCCTCGTTGGAGGTTGGGAAACTCAGCATGCGGGGGAGGACAGGGAAAATCCTCGGCTTGCCCCATAGCTTTTTATGCGAGGGATTTTTTCCAGCTGCATTTTGTTCACTATCCGGACGAAGGATTTTCGCTAGAGTTCACTAGGATTTACTTTTCGAGACGCTTATGAATTCAATGAAGCAAACACTAAGCTGCCTCTCAGCGCTGCTCCTTTGACCCTCGGAAGAGTGTTGCCTTTTCGAGAATGCTCATGGCCAACTATCTCGCTTTTCCGCTTTCCTTCCTTTCGCAGCTACTTCGACTGCTAACAAGATTTGCTCTGTAATTACGCATTAAATAAGTCCGGGGAATGCAGTCTGCTCTCTGCTCCTTATAAACACTTCACGTCTTGGGCCATAAAACTAAACACATTGTGCGGCCATAATAATAAATTCTGTTTAGAGGCAGCTGCAAGCTGCAGCCAGCGTAAATAATGGCAAATTAAATTATTTTCTAATGGCCGTGAATCGACCGTTTGATGGCTAGTAATATAATTTAAGCACCGCCTTGGGAGATAGTGGTGAAAAGAGATTGATTCTAGCCACAAAATACTGTGGAAGTGCTTTGGTTCCATTGTTGGACACTAAAGTAATTATTGATTCATTCCAACTGAAGAATGCCAGTTCGACGTTCACGAAATTAGGTTGTAAAATTAATTACATGAGAACCACAAAACTTTACTCTTTTTACCGGACTTAATGTGTAGCCTTAAGCTTTTGTAGACAAGACAGGATATTTTTTTAAGACGTTATTTACCCATTACTACCAACAAGTACTCTCAATAGCCGACATACCCAGTGGTATCCTGTGGCCATCGCTTGCAACAACTGCGATGGCGACGACAACAACCGGGGAAGTGCATTTAATTTTGCTGAAGCGGCCACTTAGTGGCCCTCGACAAGGCGGAGGAGGAGCCTCCTTCCGCTGCATTTATTGTTGCCTCCGCCGTAGTGGTGCATAAATTAAATTAAAGCTGCGCCAGTGAGCCACGGAACCGCCGCACAACAATTACTCAGCGGGCAAACGCCTAAATCATGTTGCACAGCCCGTCCTCCCGTCCCTCCAAGCCCTCCCCACCCCTGACCTTCAGACATTTGCAAATGTGTAAACATTTTTCAGAGGCCCCCAACCACCCAACAGCCCAGTGGCCCCCATTTGACCAGGCCAAAAAGCAGCCACCTACCACCAACCACCTACGAGGCGTGCTCTCCATGTGTCACAGATACTTTGCACTGATTTATGCAAATTGCCTGCGGGCAGAGCGGCTGCTAGGGGGAAATCATGAAAAATCGTTAATTGTGCAAAGTGCTGGACGTTTTTCATTAAAGTTTTCCCCCCTCGCCGCTTTCCACCAATCGCACACATGCGACCCGCAAGGGGGAGGCGGGAAAGGCGCCTCTCGCCTGACTTTCAGCAATTATGTAAATTTTTAAGAGCGCAGCAAAGTTAATGCTGCTTGCTGCGCATTTGCATTAAAATTGATGCACTTTAAAGCAATCGGCTGCTAGTCAAGGAAAAGGCATTATCCCAACACCCTTTTGCAGTAAAGTGCATCTCTAAAAAGTAATTATTTTATTTTTAAAAAAGAAAAACATAAAAATTTCAATAAATTTTAAGAAGCAAAATATATTTAGAAGTGAAAATTAAAATATATGTGTATTATAAAATTCTAAAATTTCTAATTTATGGATTCTTAAGGTATTCAATAAGTCGTCACTTTCTCGACATTTTTTTAATCCATTTCCCAGTCGTTGTTGGCTTTGCTGTTCTTATCGTCGACCATTTTTGTTTCTGTAATAATTTTATGCAATGCAGCTGCAACAAAGTGCATTTTAAATGTCTGCCTCATGCGATTTGTGTGTTAATTTTTCATGAGTCAGCAGCTGAAGTTGATGGGTAACTAGAGAGCAAAATTAAAGGGAACCCGAAGCTCATCTAATTAACTCTTTGCAAACGTCCATTCACGCTGTTGACTACTGAGAAAATCGAAAAAACTCCCTTTCGGTATTAGCTTTCAATTAAATCGTGGCGTTATAAAAAAAGGCAACAGGAAAGTTTTATTTTTCTTTCCCTGTTATCCTTGTTTTACCTTCTTTTTTTTGCTCCCGGCTAGCCTTTAATCAAACATCGAGCCATGAATAATTTTAAGACTGCAGATTATTTTTATCTAAACAATGTCAGTCTAGGAACAACGTAAAAAGCCCGCGCAATTACCCCAGTTCAACGAGTTCCCTGAAAGTTATTAGCCAATCCAAGGCAATCATAAAGCAGCAGACAGCTCGAGGGGGCCAGACACATATAGAGAGAGGAGGATATATAAATGCCTAAAGAGATAGGAATAGAACAGGAAAGGAAGCTAACTTCGGCGAACAGAAGATTATATACCCTTGCTGTCATCACAAAAGTGGAGCAAAATGCATAAAGGTTAAACCATATCGAAGTATGACGATTGTTCTCGAGATCAATTTAGATGGTGATGCTGATCAGAATATACATATATACTTTATGGAGTCAGAAAATTACATTCACTGAGCAGCAAACTTCTGACTGAATTTATAATACCCTTTTGCTTTGCTAGGGTATAATAAGAGACAGAAACAGCCATATTTTATTTTATTTCCCAACGGATAAGATTTATGCATCCATCACAATGAATAGGTCGTTTTTGCACTCCAATGCGATATTCATTCTTTATATACTTAGAAAAAGTTTTTTAAAACTACATACCTATTTACATTACAATATTTAAGTAAAAATTCAGCATCCGATTTCAAAACAAAACTGATCAGAAAAGTCCTATGGTTGATATAACTATTTTCTCTTAATATCTGATTTCATATTCTTGATTTCGTACAACACTTTTTTCTCAGCGCACCATCGTTTGTGACAGATGAAGTTTAATAAACAAGGCGACGGTAAAAAAGTGACAGACAGGGAACCAAAATCAAACTACAAGCCATCCAAGTGGGCATAAAAAAGGTTATGAAGCGATGGCTAACAAAAACCTATGTCTGATACACGAAAAACGAGTAGCTCCCTTTGTAGCTACAAACTCTCAATTTTTCTGGTCTTTTTATGCAGCCCTATAAATAAAGCAATAACATCATTTTGAAGTATCTCATTACGTGTTACGGCACTGCCATTTTTTACGACTCGAACACACTCTCAGTGGCGTACTTTTCACCAAGAGGAAGTACCAAATGAAAGCCAAGACGAGCAGCCATTTATGCAAAACTTTCGCCTCCACTCGCTTTCTGGCAATTAGTTTTTTCTCCCCCTGACCGCACACATTAGAGATATCCGCAGGGCCCATTTCCTACACTTCGGCCTGTGGGCCATCAAAATGATGGTCAACTATCAAATGGCCAAGCACACATTTGCACAGCTGCCGCAATTAGCACGTTTCGCACATTGATTTCAGGCCACCGCCCTTGGAAACCACCCACTCCTTGCCATGTGGCAAGTGGAAACTCGAGTGGGGCAAGTGACGTGATGGGTTATTAAAATACTTTGCCTCCTCCCCTCGCCGCTCAGCATCTCTGATAATTATTAATTATGTAATAAGTCGAATGGATGGACATTCGCTGAGCCCGGATTCTATTTGGCTTTGGGATTCGGCTTGGCCACTCCAGTTACGGCCAAGAAATTTGGTAAGATGGGTAAGTTGGGAACGAAGATGGCCGGACGGAAGCTCATTTGGCATTTCAAGTGACGTTGGAGGGTGGATGGTGAAGGAAATGTGAGCGCCGACAAAGAAGATTGTCTTTAGCCGGAAATGAACATTTAAAGTTTTGTATTATTCAGGATTGAGTTAAAAGCAATCTTGAAGGAAGTGAGCGTGATTTGAGGTTTTATATTAAGGGTTTTAACCCCTTATACATCTAACTTTGTTAACGATTCTATAAATAGTTAGTCACTTAAGACTTTATTAATTAGAAAATGAAATGCAGAGATGACGAATTTTCAAACTGGAAGTCAACATTAAGCACCATTGAAAATCACTGCGAAAATGTTTAATCTGTCGCCGAACTTTTTGAAAATCTGTTCAACAAAATGGAAACACTTCCTGTGCCCCTCAGTTCCCTATCTCTCTTTTTTCATTTAGAAGACCGCCCAAAGGACTTTTTAGCCCTCCCCAAGTGAACTTTCTTGTCTCAATTCAAACATATTCGGTCTCATCCTGAAGGCTCCTTCCTGACATTATTATTGTCATTCGGCTTTGTCGCTCCACATAGTCGTTGAACATCTCAGTAATTTGCATAAAATTTCCATTTTATTTATTTTATAGCCCCCGGAACAATAATGTCCAAAGAGATGTGCGATAGGAACAATGCCCATTTAAGTTTTCGTCAGCAGAATTCTTTCATTCCGTTTTATTTCATTAACTTTAAAGTTTAGGCATAGGTTACACTACAAGTGCATTGATCGAAGGAAATTTCCTGAGAAGCGGTTGCTTTTTAAATCCACATTGGGGGCTTCCCGAGCTGTGGGATTGGGTTCCGTCTAGACTGGGCACAGAAACCCGGGGACAGGACCTCAGCTCAGCTCAGCTAAACACATTCACGTGCCTGACAACAGCAGCCAGGACCTCGAAGTTGACGACGACCCACTGCCTGTCATCGTCACTTTGCAACTGTCGCCGAGGAGAAGCCGTCAAACTGGCAGAATAGCACTAAGAAAAATCCCGTGATTATAGAACTTAACTAGGGCTTAAACAAATCCTAAGCCTGTACTTAAAGTCTCAAAAAATATGAGCCCCATAACACATTATAAAGAATCAGCTTTATGTAAAAGGAAAAGGAAAATATAATGATTTAATTGAAATGTTAAGAAAAATAAAATAAATTCCAGCGAATCGAATTTTAAAAAGTAATTCACTTCTGTTTATAACATTTTTTCCTGTGAACCCAAGGCCTTGATTAAAATAAAAAAAAAACTGAAAAAGGCGCTTGCTGTCAGGAGTTTCCGAAGCGAAAACGGTTCCAGAAGTGACAGGACATCTGCGATGAGAGGGGTTCGCAGGACTGTTTGTGGCATGCGTGCAAAACGCCTTGCCACTTACTTAGTTGCGATCAAGTTGGCCCGAAAACTTAACATTCTGCACTTAAATGTGCGCCAACAATCAAAAGTGAAGCAAGTTTTTTAGGGGAGAGTGTAAGCTCAAGAATTTGTTGCATGTTCACATGTTCATGAATATACATATGGAGTAAGAAGAGGAGAAGTCCTGCCGTTTTGCCTTTGGTTTAGTTCAGTTTAAAAACTTTTCTCAGAAGCAATAAAAAAATGGACTTAAAAGTTTTACTGGCATGAAAAGGAGAGTATCCAGAAAAAATTGTTTGGCTCTAA